GTCGAGAGTGAACACCACCACGAATCTAGAGTGAACACCGCCACATATCTAGAGTGAACACCGCCACATATCTTGAGTGAACACCGCCACGCGTCGAGAGTGAACACCACCACGAATCTAGAGTGAACACCACCACACGTCTAGAGTGAACACCGCCACATGTCTAGAGTGAACACCGCCACGCGTCTAGAGTGAACACCGCTACGAATCTAGAGTGAACACCGCCACATATATAGAGTGAACACCGTCACGAATCTAGAGTGAACACCGCCACGCGTCTAGAGTGAACACCACCACGAATCTAGAGTGAACACCACCACATGTCTAGAGTGAACACCGCCACATATCTAGAGTGAACACCACCACGAATCTATAGTGAACACCGCCACGCGTCTAGAGTGAACACCACCACGAATCTAGAGTGAACACCACCACACGTCTAGAGTGAACACCACCACGCTGTTGACGAGCCTCACCTTGTGTTGTGGGCAGGTCGCTTCTGAAAACAAAAGCGGTATAGCAGCTCAACGCGGGCTTGGCCTGGAAAAATAGAAATAAAAACTATGTGAATATTTAAAATCAAACAAAGTTACAACGTGGTCAGCCGTGTGAAGACAAATTAAACTTTAAGCAAGAGAATTGAAGAAAACGCGATCAGGCGAGGGCAGGAGGCAAGGCCCCGCGTTGTAAAATTCCAACCTGGACATCGCTTCCATGCTCGCTGCTACTGAGTTGACATCCCTACGAGAGAGAGAGCGAGGCTCTACCTCGGTAAACAACAACCACCACAACAACCACCACCACCACAACAACCACCACCACAACAACCACCACCACCACAACCACCACAACAACCACCACCACAACAACCACCACCACAACAACCACCACCACAACAACCACAACCACAATCGCGATGAGAATTTCTCACCTCAGATTTCAGTGCACGCGCGGAGCAGCAACTTTCTGTTACCCCGTGACGTCACGTGGCAGCAGGAGACATGACGTCACTTGCGGGGCACGCTAACACTCCCCTCCCACAATGAGCGGCTCCGTAACGAATATATTATGTTAATTAGCCCGGCCCATATGTCGAGGGGTGGGGAGTAAAACTGGTTCAGTTTCATTTAGTTTCAGTTTCATTTAATTGGTATAGCCCTGAAACTGGGTGCTGAACCCGTCGCAATAAACTCGCGACGCCTAACACGGATACATTATGTTAATGAGCCGCCAGTCACTGGGCGTGGCTTTGCCCAAATAAGGATTGTACTTGAACAAAATAACGGCAGTGACCCAAGCAGAGGTGACGTCACGCTCAAGTACGCGGTGGACGGGGTGGGGTGAATACCTTGGTGACATGACGTCTCTAGCGAGGTACACCTCCCCCTGGCGTTTCACGCCGATGAGGTAATTCTGAGTGGTGACGTCACAGAACGGGGTTGGAGTTTAAGTTGATTTAGATTCATTTTCCATTGCTCCCTCCCGTGAACAGAGACCCCTTCGGTGTGTGAGCTCAGCAACAACAACGTGGACATTATTGTGTACACACTGTGTGTGTACACTGTGTGTGTACGCAGTGTGTACACTGTGTGTGTGCAGTGTGTATACTGTGTGTGTACACTGTATGTGTGTACACTGTGTATGTGTGTACACTGTGTGTGTGCAGTGTGTGTACACCGTGTGTGTACACACACTCAGTGTGTATATTGTAGGGGCACAGTCATCTCGGTAAGTCGTCCAATGGCATCTTTTCATCAATTTATTATTTTCCAACTTTTTTTATTTAGTTTATTATTTTATATATTGTTGTTCGTTTCCTATCTACGTGACTTTACCGAAAGAACCAAGAATATGTATTATCATCAGCTGCGCCACGCTGTGTGGGAGCTCCCTGGCCTGTCGCTCCGCACGAAGCTGCGTGGAGCCCTCTGCAAGGAAGTTCTCTCAGGCTGATTGAGGCGAGCCGAGTGGAGGCGCATTCTATTTTGACTTAAAACTTTCGTGACTGCAGGAATTAATATTCATAATAAAGGTTTTTGGGTTAGATCGCGTTTATTTATAAATGTGTCGTAACCCTCCACCACCCGACACGGCCAATCAGCAAAAAAGTGTCACGTTGACAAAAGACAAATAATTCACTACTTTAGCCCACCGGTGTGTTGAAGAGTGAATCCACATTTACAATCTGGCCAGAATCTGGCGAATTGCCCGATGATGCTGGATGTATTTACCAGCGAAACGTCGTACTCAAACTGTAAATGTGGATTCACTCTTCAACACACCGGTGGGCTAAAGTAGTGAATTATTTGTCTTTTGTCAACGTGACACTTTTTTTGCTGATTGGCCGTGTCGGGTGGTGGAGGGTTACGACACATTTATAAATAAACGCGATCTAACCCAAAAACCTTTATTATGAATAATATTGGTCGCGAAAGCCTACGTGTTAAAAAGGAATTAATATTCTTGGCTCTTTCGGTAAAGTCACCACTGCCGACAGTTGTGTCGGCAGTGGCAGAACATGCTTGTCAACAAGGACACTCAATTGATTTTGATAACGTTGAAGTGTTGTGTGGCAGGTTAAAAAGTCACGTAAATTAAAAAAATGTTAAAGAAATTTTTTCTAATAAAAATGACAATTTAAATAATACAAATAAAGTAAAAATATGTATTTATTTTTGTTTTCTATTTACATGACTTTACCGAATGAACCAAGAATATGGTAGCACATTCTCTATTTATTGCAGAGATTCAAGGTTCAAATCCGACAGGCACACCTGGCTACCCCAGTAACATTCACCACAATTGCGCAGTCTGCTTAACGGCAGCTGTGAAACATAGCGTTGTGTCATTCACAACGCACAGGTCATTGCATGTTGGTGTCACAGTCAAAATTTGGGTAATTCCAAACACTATCCAGAAACTACACAACGGAGATGGCGTGTCAATGGTCGCCCCCTACTGACAGGCTCTTGTCCACGTGCAGGTCGGTGCAGGGCCACCACCTTGTGCCACACAGGGGCAGCTGCCACTTACGGGGGCGTCCTTTGATTGTTTGAGATGAGATTCGATACGAAACACTGAGTTGCTGAGGCAATTAGGCAAGCGACTTATGAGTGCAAATATGATGTTGGTAACGTAGTGATTGCTTGGGAGCTTCATTGTCTCTCGCTTCTGCCGACAGAATTACCCAGCCTACAGGTCCACAGATACCAGCCGCTCCTACTCTGCAGGTTCAGCTACGAATGGTTCGAAAGAAGTTCAACGTACACACAAACTCACACAGAGACCCAAAGATTAGCACGGTCGGCTATGTACGGTGCTAAAGAAGTTTCAGATGCACACAGACTCACACAGAGACACATTGATTACCACAGTTGGTTACATATGGTGTGAAAGAAGTTCAACATACACACAGAGACCTATAGATTAGCACGGTTGGCTCTGTATGGTGCGAAAGAAGTTCCAGATATACACAGAGATGAGGAGCAAGTTTGAGTAGTCGTTGGCCGTGGAAGATGAACAGGTGGGTGTTGCTACTGACAGTAGTTGAATACGGTTGGATATACGTTAATAGAGAGACAACAACCGCCATTCGCCACTAAGTGGTGGTGACGTCACCACGACGTTTGTGCCAGGCTATGTGCACCTTGAGGCCACGTGAAGTGTCGAACGCTCGCCGGCAGGAGGTCACGGGGCAGACCCAGGTGCCACGAGTCGACTGAGACAACTGGCTGATGCACCACCTATGCCCCTTACTGTGCCAGATTTATGTGCTTTAGCCACCCGGCGCTCCGCTCATTGTTGTGAGCGTCGCTCCTTCGCCCTGCGTTGTTGGCAGGCGACTGCCTTGGGTTGAGCTGTGTAGACTCGTCCTAAGCCATCAGATTCACCGTCAGCAGCACGTCGCTTCCATTTTTTTTCGCAGTCCATGTATAGTAGGAGGGAACTTAATGGTAGAGCAGGTTGGCAGCAAATGGGTCACTTGGGCACGAAACAAAAAACGCTATAAGGGTGGTATCTTGTGGAGCCAGGGCCTGTGTTTGGGCATTTCCTTTGGTGACGTAGATGCGTTGACCATTTTGGTGGTGAAGTGCCAAATGGACGACTGTGGGGGAACGGTCATGGATGGGGAAGCCAAGAATTCTGCAAATGGCCTCATTGTTGCTGATGTATGTCCCTTGGAAAAAAAGTTTGAGTTCTGGCACACTTTGCCCCTCTGTTTTGTAAGGCAAAGACAGCCATGTCAGAGCCTTTGTTGATGTATTGGCAAACATATCTGATGGCTTTTTTTAGAATAGCAGAATTTCACCTTAAAGTGGGCCTGGAAGATCTTGCACAGGGCAGTAGGGAATGATCCACCGGTTATGAACCTTAATTAGCGAGTTAGTGGCAGGTCTGAGCGGTGTTTGAATTCCACTATGCTCAGTATTTCTGCAACGATATAGAGGATAACCATCATGGGCCGACTGAGCGTCTTGCAAGTAGTTCCATGGATACCTCTTGGTACACCTGTGGTCTTGCATACATGGCATATTTGGATGGAACTGGGCACATTCGGCCATGGACCATTTGGTTGCAGACCACGTAGAAAAAGGGCAGGGTCTTGATGGGGGTGAGGTAGCTCAGCACTGATAAATGTGTCAATGTGACTTGCATTGTTTCCCTCATCCATAGCGAAATGTGAGCATGAGGAAGACGACGTTTGTGCCACCCAATGGTGTGCAAGTTACTGCTTGTCTATCCAAAGACGCCGCCTTCGTTGGTCGTAATAAGCATCATGAGGTCATAAACTTTGAGTTTTAAGACCCTCACTAAGATGTCATGTCTGTCTGGTGGCTTTTGGATTGGATAAAGGTAAACCTGGATCTCCTTTCATTTGGGATTGCAAGTGAAGGTGATGAAGAGATGGAGGGTGGCATATTGACTGATGTCATGGCATCCTGAGTCTTCTCATGCATGTATCTTGGTGGAGCTGTGAAGAATGAAGGCACAATAACTAATCAGCCCACATTGTGACCGTTTGCAACTCCTTTGGCATCGATGGCGTCCCAGAGATGAGCATACTGCTCACACACAGGCGATTTAGATTCAGTTGAAGGTAAAGGCACTCACTCTCAATGTTGGCATACTCATCGACAACATACTGGTGAAAGAGGTTGGCGCACCATAATGTGGTTCCTCCTCTGTCATAACCACGAGGGAATAGAAGTTTTTTTAGAGGAGACAGTTTTGTGAGGATGTCTTTGTCCTGCAGCTTTGTAATTGGAGGAATCTTGACGTGGTACCCATCTTGGTCTTGCGACAGGAAAATGTGTTATTGTAGGGCATCGAATGGTCTGTTAGTTTCAGGAAATTGTGCGATGGTTTTCTTGGTATGGAAGAACAATGTCTCTCTCACAATGTTCCTCACCCACTGTAAGAAAGCAAGGTCAACAATATTTGGGGCATTGAACCTCCCAGCATGCTCCTCGCTTTGGTGGAAAGTAAAGGTGCGGTACGGCAAAATTTTAATGGGTGATGTTCCCACGAATGTAACAAAACGATAGACGAAATGCAATGGGCTGTAACTAAGAAAGTCCAACGTATTTAGCAGTATAACATATTAATCAGCATCGCAGTACTACGTATCAGTAAATAGCGTGACGTGCGCAATCTAAACAATAGAAATGCATTGAAGAAATAATCTGAAATAAGTGTACATTAAAGAGCAGCAGTATGCACAGGTGAGTTGAGAAGCAGGCTACAGTCTAGATTATAGACTGTCAGTACACCGACTCAATGACATAAGCATTGCTACAGTCGACATAAAAAGCTGACTATACGGTCAGCAGCTGAAAAAGCAGGAGACAGTCGACATGAAAGGCTGGCAGTACACTGAGTGAGGTAAAGAAGCAGGCAACAGATTATAGACTGGCATACACTCAATGCCCAAAAGCCAAATTAGCAGTGTAGATAATAGAGTGCCAGTGCACTGACGTTAATTAATGAGCAGGCAACAGCACAGACTGGCAGTACACCGTCGCAGCGTCATAAAAACATAGCTAAAAAAGAAAATATTTAGCAACCAAATAATGAAATATTGGTTTTCTGCACACAACCATTATTATTGTAATATTTGCCAACTTATTTGTTTCATAATAGTCAACAATAAACCTGAGTTCTTAGCGAAAGATTCAATAAAATTGTACTTTCCATTGCCGTGGTGAGGCCTAGTCCCGTGCAGAGCCCGCGGCCTCGCCTAGATTGCCCAGCCGGAGGTGGTGACACATTGCCAGGCTGGGGGCTGGGCCGCTCTCCCCACCCGCGCTGCAATAATGCTAAGCGCTCTAATATTAATATGTCGGGACTTTATAGCAGTAACAGCACGCATTGGGGTGGGGGGGGGACATAAGACTGAATCATGAACCTCAGCATTGTGTGTATATTTTTTAACCATTGTTAACGCGAATGAACTTTTTAGCGGTCGTTTGTGCGTTGCTAGGGGCGCAATTGCGTGCTTTGTCCCGCGGCGGGCGCAAAAAATAAATAAATAACGACATATCGCACAATATCGCTAAACTAATTTAAAGGTGACGGATGTGAAAAATGAATAGTGCTTGCCAACCGTGGGGCTTACGGCGTGGTACCTGGCAACAATTGTTTTTTATGTAAACCCCACCGTTAGAGACAAATCCCTCGCAAGCACGTGAACACAGACAAAAAATGACATTTATATATAACGCACTACTTTAACGATCTGTGATGAACGCTGCACTGTCGTTTTCATGCTTATTACAAATGCGTCGCTCGTGTGTAATTTTTTTCGTGACTTTCCTGGCCAAAGGCCGTAAATGGTTCTGAGGTGCACCGCAGGCGGTCCGGCTTGCTTCAGCCCATGGTTGTGAACATCCAGACGTTAATCGGCAAGGACCATTTCTTGTTCTAGTTCGCCAACATATAAGACGTCATGCAAAATTACAATGAGTGTTGTTGTGGAGAATGTATCTACTAGATGTGCTCTGCCTTGTAACCGAATACAAATGTGTACCAAAAATGCATTTCAAATGTGCTCTTAAAATTACCTCCTTGCTATGAAGCAGATCAGCAGACACGACATCTTTCATTGAGACCTCCTTTGCCAGAAACAAGATATAGGAATAGGTTTTACCCTTTTAACTGGCACAAAAACTGACACCTTTATTCAAGGCACCATGTTTGCAATGACCACAACACAAGCAGTCAACACCAATGGAGACTAGGCTCTAAGAAAAGCTGTCTCGGGTGTGGACCAATCAAATTCAAGGACAGTGCCAATATTATCAGAGTTGTCTTTTTTTGTTTGCATTTTGACTGCTTGTGTTGTGGTCATTGCAAACATGGTGCCTTGATTAAAGGTGTCAGTTTTTGTGCCAGTTAAAAGGGTAAAACCTATTCCTATATCTTGTTTCTGGCAAAGGAGGTCTCATAATGTTAATGCTCACCCCGAGCCCTCAATACTCTGATAGTGCGCTGTCTTTGAGTTGTACGCCTTTTGGCGTCTTCTGGTCCAACACCAATGGAGACTAGGCTCTAAGAAAAGCTGTCTCGGGTGTGGACCAATCAAATTCAAGGACAGTGCATATTATTATCAGAGTTGTCTTTTTTGTTTGCATTTTGACTGCTTGTGTTGTGGTCATTGCAAACATGGTGCCTTGATTAAAGGTGTCAGTTTTTGTGCCAGTTAAAAGGGTAAAACCTATTCCTACGACATCTTTCATTTATCGATCTCTCCACAAAACAAAGGAATGTTTTACACAAACTATAACTAGCACAGCCTTCTGAGAGTGCATCATTGATTCAGTGCAAGCCACCTGTGGACCCTTATTGGTGCACAGCGTCTCAACAGCAGCTTGCTTCAACCGATGGTTACGAACATCCAGACGTTAATCAGCAAGGGGCATTTCTAGTCCTAGTTAGACAAAATCTACGTCAACACGTAATACTAAATTATAATTCGTGTTGTAGAGAATGTATCTCCTCTACGTGTAACTTTTAAGTGGTATGCCTTGTAAATGATGAATGATCCGAGTGTGCTCCCTATTGCAAAGACAATGAGTTGCTCCAGAGGCAGACGCTTCCTGAAAACACAAAAATACCCTTTGACCTGTATCACAAGAACAACGGGTCTCACCCGAGGTTACTTCCAAAACACACACTTTGTCCTAACATCACTTAATCAATGTTTGACCCTCATAGACGAAATGTTACATGTACGCACAATCAGACAAGTATTCATTATAAATGATTGAGTTATTTTAACAAAATTTAATTACTGCACTGAAATATGCTGCATCAGGTTACATCGTATTCACAAGAAGCTATTTACAAAAATACGCACCGTCTGCTTAACAGTGTATGTACAACAAACTATTGCGCCATTCAAAACGAGTAGGCCATTGCATGCTGGCGTCTGGGTCAAAATTGACCAAATTCTAAACATTACCTACAAACTCCACAACTGAGATGCCATATCTAAGTTACAAGCCGTAACAGTATTGTGTGGAATGACAAGACAATGTCACACTTTCAGGAACATTCTTAGAAGGCAAAAACAGACTTCAATGGACAGGTTTTTAGTAAAACTCAAACCTGGTGAGCCTCAACCAGGTCCATGTCAAGAAAAAAAACGCAGAAAAGAGAAAAAAACCCCAGAATATCAGCTTGCTGAAGTTTTAATGGAAGGGGACTCTCCTTCCATAAAATAACATCTCCTCCCCTTCTCACCACCATCCTCGTAGGCTATCAACTCCCCTCAGCAAGGTAAAGTGATGTTCTATTTTAGATTTAAAGCTTTCGTGACTGCAAGGATCCATACTCTTTGGTTATGAGTATGATGTTCTATTTAATTTTTATTTCAATTTACTTTAATTTACTTATGCATTTATTTTAATTTACGTATGCATTTTAGTAATTAGTGTCTAAATTATTTTAACCCCATTAATGTATAATATGGCATATAAAATATAATTTATTATACTCTGGAACGAATCATTTCCTTTCCCTTTATTTATGGGAAAAATTCGTTTGGTATTCGTCATTTTCGGTGTAAGTCTTCCTACCTTCTGGAACGAATTAAGGACGTATACCGAGGTACCACTGTATTAGAACATAGTGAATGCTTGGGAGCTTATTGGCTCTCGCTCCTGGTTAGAGATGTACCCAACCCACAGGTCCACAAAGACTGGCCGCTCTTACCCTGCAGGTTTAACCAAGGAATTGAGTGTTCAACTTCACATTCTTGTCATTCAAAACCTGTGACAAAGGTGCATTTATTGGAGCGACATCGTCTCAAGCTTACACATCTACCGGGTCTCCATTTGACTTTGTATCGTCTCGGAGGAAGTCCACCCACACCTCCACTTCCACAAACTGCTGGGAGTTGCCTCGCTCTGCCTCACAGTCAGAATTCTCCTCCTGCTTCACGTTGCCTCCATCGATGTGAAGGTCCGATTTTGGAGTTGAATCGTCATCTTCACATTTTACCTTCACTTCTTCGCTCTTCACCATCACTTCTTCGCTCTTCACCATCACTTCATCACCTTTCACCTTCACCTCTTCATATTTCACCTCGATACCTTTAAAAGCGTTCAAGCTGGGATTTTCTTCCGGTTCTTGTTTCATGAGGGATGGGCTCATTGCGGCACTTTGACTTTCACAAGCTGATTTCAGACTCCACTCCTTGTGGATCTTCTGATGCTTTTGTGTTCTCTGGTGTACTTGAAGATTTGGTGAAAATGCAAACGCCTTCCCGCACGGAATGCACCTGAAGGGTTTCTCTCCGGTGTGTGTTCTCTGGTGTGCTACAAGAGTAGATAACTGTGCAAACGCCTTCCCACACACACTGCACTTGAAGGGTTTCTCTCCCGTATGTGTTCTCTGGTGTGTTACAAGAGTAGATGAATCTGAAAACGCCTTCCCGCACAGAGTGCACTTGAAGGGTTTCTCTCCCGTGTGTGTTCTCTGGTGTGTTACAAGAGTAGATGAATTTGAAAACGCCTTCCTGCACAGAGTGCACTTGAAGGGTTTCTCTCCTGTGTGTGTTCTCTGGTGTGCTACAAGAGTAGATGACTGTGCAAACGCCTTCCCACACACACTGCACTTGAAGGGTTTCTCTCCCGTGTGTGTTCTCTGGTGTATTTGAAGATGTGGTGACTGTGCAAAAGCCTTCCCGCACAGAGTGCACCTGAAGGGTTTCTCTCCCGTGTGAGTTCTCTGGTGTGATACAAGATTATATGAATCTGAAAACGCCTTGCCACACAGAGTGCACTTAAAGAGTTTCTCTCCTGTGTGTGTTCTCTGGTGTTTTTTAAGAACAGACGACCGTGAAAACGCCTTCCCACACACACTGCACTTGAAGGGCTTCTCTCCTGTGTGAGTTCTCTGGTGCTGTGTCAAATTTCCAGTATGATCCGTGCTGTATGCACACCGGTCGCATTGTTGCCTTGTTGTACCGAGCTGCGCCGAGTGCCTTTGCTCCATCAGAAAAATTCTGCAGAGGAAGCGACAGAGGAAGCGATAGCTGCAGACAGAAAAAATTACATCAACACCATCTACCGTATTTTCCTGCATATAACCCACGGGGTATACCACTTTTTACAAACAAAACAAGACCCTGCGGGGTATATGGAGGTGCAGGCTATCCCAATTTTTTTTTAAGTGTGACATGTCATAACTCGTTTAATTTTTTCATGGTAGGACTATCCACTATGCAACACTTACCTTTGATTAAAGCACTGCTGAATAAACTACTCGCCCCAAAATTGCACATGTTATCACGTTTTCAATTATTAAAATTGTTTGTACAATGAACCGACAATGTTTGAAGTGGGCGCACTTTGTTTACCGGCTACAGGAGAGCTGCGGGGAGAGAGGTGGGGGGGGGTTGGTGGCGAGGCAACGCGTTACCGGAGTGCCGCTATTGTCTGCGTTGTGCGCAATCTACCAGTGCTAAAACTGTACTTACTTATCTACCAGTTATGTGTTACTTATTTATTGGATATTTACTTTTGTTACTTATTTACTGTTTTACGTTCACTCGTTTCCAGTTAGTTTGTTTTCTTTGTGCACGTTATGATTTTAATGTTAACAATCGATAGTGAAATGTATTACAAATGTAAACTTCGTATTAATATGATGAAATTTAGCTGCGGTAACTACGATAAAGATTTGAATGCATGCGGGGTATATGGAGGTGCGGGCTATCTGAAATTTGTTTTACACAAAACGCTATTTTTGCGGGGTATATGCGTATGCGGGCCATAAGCGCGAAAATACGGCACACGTCAGCATCGAGGCACAGTAACACGTGACTTACACGTCTATACTTATTCATATACTAGCGATTACTACCCGGCGTTGCCCGGGCGAAAAAGGCAGACACACACATGAACTTACAAACAGACATGGACCCATACAAATAGAAACCCACTGACTTACACTCACGCAAACACATATGGACTCACACACACAGACATCGACTTGAGAGACACATGTAGTTACACACACAAATCGACTCAAACACACAGAGTTACACACATATATCGACTCACACATACATACATAGACTGAAAAACAACAGCCGCCATTCGCCACTAAGTGGCAGTGACGTCACCACAACGCTTGTGGTAGGCTATGTGCACCTTGAGGCCGCGTGAAGTGTCGAACACCTGCTGGCAGGTAACGAGGCAGACCCAGATGGCACAGGTCGACTGAGATGACTGGCAGATGCACCACCTGTGCCCTGTACCCTGCTAAATTGCTGTGCTTTAACCACACAGTGCACCGCTCCGCCCTCCGTTGTTATTGGAGGCCGACTGCCTCCATCTGGCCTGTAGCGTCCTTCACGAGGCTCCTCCACAGATACCGACCTTGACACCGCTGGTACCAGTCATCGACAAGTCCACTCAGCTGCACATCGTCCTGTAGTACATCACTCCATCTCTTCTCTAGCCTGTGCAGCGCCCGTTTAGAGACCTCGATCCGGCGGAACAAAAGGTGTTTAGGGATGCGGTGGCTGGGCATGCAGGCTACATGGCCCAGCCAACGCAGCCTTGCCTGGCCATGCAGGCTACATGGCCCAGCCAACGCAGCCTTGCCTGGCGGAGGAGGTCACCAATGGGACTTTGTCCAGATCATTCAAGTATTTGTGAGCTCATCACACAATCCAGCCTGGTTAAACCCAGGATGGATCGTAGGCAGGCCAGCTTAAATGTGTGTAACCGGCGAAAATGTTGCATTAGGGGGGTCCAAGTTTCACAAGTGTAGAGAAGGGAGGGAATGACCGTGGGCGAGACGACGTGGAGCTTCGTGCGGAGCGAGAGACCAGGTAGCTTCAACACAGTGTTACACAGCCGATGAAAAGATAATGCCGCTCAACTGATTCAGAGTGAGACCTCTGGTGTTAAACCGGAGACGGTCATGAGTACACTGGGCAGGTATGGGAAACTCTGCACTCTCCACAACTGGCCCATCAGCAATTGTGAGTTATGGGGGTGGATTGTCCGATGGTACAAAATACCCAGGCAAGTGCTTAGTTTTGGTGGGGCTGATGGTAAGGCCCCACATCTTCGTGGCAAGCTTCAGGTTGAGCAGCAGCGCGTCCAACTCCTCTTCTGAGTGAGCAATAATTACCAGATCATCGGCATACATAACGTGGTTGATCAATAGGGAGCCATCGATTGACCGCACCCGGGCATCGATGAGCCTCCCATTGTATCTGTACCAGATGTGAATTCTTCCGGTAGAGGCATTGAAAGCTTAACAAAGTACATGGTCCAAATATACGTAAAAGAATGTGGGAGGCAGTGGACATCCCTGTCGCACCCCAAGATGTACAGGGAGTGGCTCTGATTCACGGTCACATAGTTTGATGTGGGGCCGCTCACCATCATGAAGGTCCTTAAGGATGGTAAGCAGAGGGTCAGGGACTCGAAAAGTACGAGGAGCAACCCAGAGCCCAGGGCTAATGATGGTATCATAGGCCCTGAGCAAGTGAATAAAGCACACATATGGACTAACACGCACACATGGACCTACAGGCACGCAACGAAATGGACTAACACTGACTAACATGGAGCCACGCACACACAGCGACGAACACACATGCGCATGGACTGACACACACAACAACAACAACAACCGCCATTCGCCACTAAGTGGCGGTGACGTCACCACGACGCTTGTGCCAGGCTATGTGCACCCTGAGGCCACGTGAAGTGTCGAACGCCCGCTGGCAGGAGGTCACGGGGCAGACCCAGGTGCCACGGGTCGACTGACTGAGATGACTGGCTGATGCACCACCTGTGCCCCCTACTGTGCCAACCTGCTGTGCTTTAGCCACCCGGCGCTCCGCTCGCTGTTGTGAGCGTCGCTCCTCCGCCCTCCGTTGTTGTTGGAGGGCGACTGCCTCCAACTGCCCAGTAGCATCCTTCACGAGCCTCCTCCACAGAGGCCGATCTTGACACCGCTGGTACCAGTCATCGGCAAGTCCACTCAGCTCCACGTCCTCCTGTACCACATCACTCCATCTCTTCTCTAGCCCGTGCCGCGCCCGCTTAGCCCCCTCAATCCGGCCAAACAAAAGCTGTTTCGGCATGCGGTGGCTGGGCATGCGGGCTACATGACCCAGCCATCGCAGCCTTGCCTGCCGGAGGAGCTCACCGATGGGACCCTGCCCAGATCTTTCAAGGATTTGTGAGCTCCTCACACAATCCAGTCTGGTTAAACCCAGGATGGATCGTAGGCAGGCCAGCCTAAATGTTTCTAACCGGCGAAGATGTTCCATTAGGGGGGTCCACGTTTCGCAAGCGTAGAGAAGGGAGGGAATGACCGTGGCCGAGAAGACCTGAAGCTTAGTGCGGAGCGACAGACCAGGTAGCTTCCACACAGCGTTACGCAACCGATGAAAAGATATTGCCGCTCGACTGATTCGGAGTGAGACCTCTGCTGTTAAACTGGAGCCAGTCATAAGCACACTGCCCAGGTATGGGAAACTCTCCACTCTCTCCACAACTGCCCCATCACCGATTGGGAGTTGTGGGGGTGGAGTGTCCGATGGTACAAAATACCCAGGCAGGTGCTTAGTTTTGGTGGGGCTGATGGTAAGGCCCCACCTCTTAGTGGCACGCTCCAGTCTCAGCAGCAGCGTCTCCAACTCCTCCTCTGACTGAGCAGCTATTACCAAGTCATCAGCATACATAACGTGGTTGAGCAATAGGGAGCCATCCCTTGACCGCACCCGGGCATCGATTAGCCTCCCATTATATCTGTACCATATGGAGATTCCCCCGGTACAGCTATTGAAGGCTTCACGAACTACGTGGTCAAAATAGATGTTAAATAATGTGGGAGCCAGAGGACATCCCTGTCGCACCCCAAGGTGTACAGGGAATGGCTCTGACTCCCGGCCACGTAGTTTTACCCGGGCCCGCTCACCATCATGAAGGTCCTTAATGATCGTGAGCAGAGGGTCAGGTACTCCAAAAGCACGAAGAACGACCCAGAGCCCAGGCCTACTGATGGTATCATAGGCCTTGACCAGGTCAATAAAGCAGAGATGTAGGTCTTGTTGGAATTCCCTACACCTCTGCTGTAGCAGACGGACAGAAAATATGGCATCTGTGCAGGACCGCCCTTTCCTGAAACCGCATTGGGGCTCCGCAAGCCTCTCCTCAGCGTGCCTGGCAAGGCGATGCTGAATAATCCTTGCCAGGACCTTTCCCGGCACACTGAGGAGTGAGATGCCCCTGTAGTTGTTACAGTCTGTGCGGTCCACCTTCTTAAAAAGGGGGACCACCAGGGCATCCTTCCAATCCTGCGGAACCCGTCCAGTGGTCCAGACTGTTGTTATGATGTCATATAGGGCAGTCTGTGCACAAACGCCACCCTCCCTCAGCATTTCGCTTGGGAGATCATCTCTGCCCGCTGCCTTTCCTGGTCTCAGACTCCGGATCGCCTTCAATACTTCCTCAGCAGATGGCGCCTCAGCCAGCCACTCACAGGGGGTGACTTCATCCAATATTTGAGGCACCGCAGCCTCAGCAGGGTCATCCTCACTTTGTGCCACGATGTTTTCCTGGCTGAGGGATTTTCCCTCCCCCAGGACCTCACAGAAATGCTCAGCAAATCTGCGAACCTGTTCCTGGGGGTCGGAAATTGGATCACCGTTTTTTCCCCTAATGATGG